GGGGCGCTCGACTAGCACGCGCCCAGTCATAAAGTTGGGCAAACGTCTCATAAAACGTGACGATAATCATAATTGATGCTCGAGCCCCTGCCAGGTGGGAGACAGGTGGGCGGATTTGCTTGGAGCTGGATATTGGGGGATTTGAAATTGTAATTTAGTTTGCCAGCTCATCGCACACAGCTCAGCTCAGCTCAGCTCAGTTCAGCTCAGTCTCATGCTTAGGCGTCTTTGGTGGTTTTTGCTGTTTTTTGGTCAAATTAAGGGTAAAATTGTTAATTGAAATTTGTGTGTGCTGCGTGTGTGTGTGTGTGTGTTTGTGTGGGCCGAGATCCCATTGGCGGCCCATGCCATGCCACAGCAACTGGTAAATTTATTTGGTGTCCAGCAGCAGCAGCTGCAACATTTCCATTTTAGCCATACCTTCTCAGCCTTCTAATGATAAATCAATGCAACATATGGCAATGTTGGCCCAACCTTTGCCTCAATGTTGTAAATTTTAAATCAATGTTGGCCGCCAGGACACAGGACACAAGCAGCTGCATTTTCTTCTTTTTTTCCGTAGTTGTTGATGTTGTTGTTGTTTTTTAATGCCGAGCGCCTAAACGCACTTCTTTGGGCTCGTAAATCCAGTTGGCACGGCAAGGTTTGGTTGTCGTCGTCTTTGGCCCAAGGCTCGGAGACTCCACGCAATCCATTATTGTATTAATTAACAGGAACAGGATCACCAATCAGACGCTTGATTAATGATGTCACTCGCCATCGTAAATCTCGATTTGAACATGTGCAAATTTTCGATGCAAATATATGGAGATGCGCCTCGTTGCGTCGCCCAATCCGAGGCATCCACACGAGTTCGTTGTTGTTGTTGTTGTTGCTATTGTTGTTGTTGTTGTTGTTGTTGTTGCTGTTGTTGTGGTTTGCTGTAGGCGCCTTGGCCTATGCTTTGAGCATAATCATGCATTAGGACAAAACACACACGCGCACACACACACGCACACACACACACACTTGCATAGGGTGGGCAGCATCCGGCACTCGCATCCTTCCGCCTGCTGAGGGTAGGAAGCCCTGGGGCAGCCACAACCAGCTTGTAGGTTGCCGTGGAAGGCAGATGCTTGCCCAGCCTGCAGCTGAACGGATGCATTATGGGGGCGATTGTGTTGCAACAGCCGCCTGTTGATTCCCCAAAATGTAGCATTGTTGCAGCCTAATTAAAGCTCCCGTTCGAGTGCATTCACTGCTGGGATGATATAATTTATCCCAAGATTACAATGTAAATTGTATTGTTGCTTATAGGGCGTTTGATACTCTGCTCACATTTATGGGATTTAAGACGTTTAAAGCAACAGTAGATCCACAAAGCTGGGATGTAATTATTATTTAACAGATATCTAAATGTTGCTAAACAAAAAAATTTGTTTTCCAAATTTAGAAGGTGTTAGAAGAAGCCCATGACTAGGAGAGAAGAGGGATTAGCATTAAATATTATACTATGAAGATAAAACTTGTACTTAAGAAAAAACTGAAGTATAAATAATAACTAACAAATAACAACGACTAGACACCAAAATGTGAGCAGCTTGTCTGTAAGCAAACTTTAGGCTTGCAAACGCCTTGTCTATCTTTATAAGCATCAACTGGTTGAGAATTTCAACCGTTAAGCAAACAAAAAACTGGGTCATACAAATGTGTTAGTCAATTTATATAAAATCGAGAATACATTTATTTTAAAAATATTTAAATTAATTTTTTGCATAAGCAATACCCATACCATATTCTTTTACTTAATCCCATACCCAAATTTTGGTATATATTATAGTCTGAGCAAACTAAAACTATTAAAAGTATTTATGAATGCATTCGTTGGCTTGAAATATAAAACTTTAAAATTGACAAATCCTTCATTTAATTACTACATTTTTTGATTTACAAGGAAGTTAAAGCTGCTGGTAAACTATAGATTTGCATTAGCTAAAAGAAGCTCTTTAGCCATAGTTCTGTTTAAATACATTAAAAAAAGGTGGAGCTGTATTTGGGCATCTGGCCGTAATTGCCATTTTGTGCAAAGGACAATGAAAATGTTGAGTTATTTTGAAATTGGCTGATCATAAATTTACGTTAATTGCGAACAGAGCGGAGTACTCGAATACGAATAATGTGGAATTCTGATTTGGCGCATTTTGACTAATAAAGCAAAATGACTGCAGCAATGCCAGCAGTAACCACATTTTGGGCTGCGGAGGGGTGTGGTGGGTGTGAGGGAAAGGGGGGGGGGCGGTATTTTGGGGGTAGATTTGAATTGGATACCGCAGGTACTTCTAATCTTGTTTGGCCGCGATTATAAATTGTTGCGTACTTCATTTTGGCCAGAATAATAACATGAGTAATTAATTTAATGTGCCAGCGACAGGACATTGCAGCGGGGTGATGCGGGCCATGGGAAGGGGGCTAGAGGTGGGCCCGGGCAATACAAATGAACTAATGTTTATTGCAATTGTCGCGTAAATAACAATGGCAATGGCCAAATATCCATGCAGCCACATTGCAGGGCAGCAACTGCAAACTGGCCCAAAATCTGGACCGATGCAATGCAAATGGCTAAAATTATTCCTGACCGCGGCTCCAATTTGCAATGGAATGCGCAAAACATTCATATATTTAATTCAGGCACCACTGTAACCACAGTGGTGCCCTCTTCTTCTTCTTGTTGTTTTGGTTGTTGTTGTTGTTGCTGTACCTGTGGACTAAACATTGAAATCGTGGCTGCACCTACTGGTGTGTTGGCCATCACTTGCTTTTGGCCATTAATTTTATTATTTTTATTGTGGCGCTTCGGAACGCATGTCCTTTGAAATAAATTCGTCCTTAGTTTATGGCGCGTGAATAAATGGATGAGTGCAGCAAAACATTCATTTAACCATTTGATTGTCGCATCGCTGCAGCTAAATAATATAGGTACAAGTACATGGCTACAGATAAATAGAATACATCCCAAAACAATTCAATGACTAACAACATTTATTTCATTTTTCGCATACCATTTGCCAGCTAAATAATTGTCGCCAATTTGGTTACCGCGACTAGACAAAATGGCGGCCAGCCAAATGAGTTAATTACGATTGTTAATTTATATTCATTTGATAAACGAATATACATCTAATACTATGTATTTCATATAGAAATTTATAGCCGCAAGAGATTTAGCCAATCAATTGCCTTTGGCAAGCATTCGCTCAATAGAATTAGCAGACATGCAGGACACTTTAGGGCAGGAGAGAACAACAAGAATCCTTCAAATGAAAAAACCAAATATAAAAAAAATTTGTATGAATTTTAAGTAAAAATTTATTTTTCACTTTTATCGATCTGGCAACGCTTGTTCATGAAGTTAGCTGCGATTACGTGTTTTCATATATTTTATATTAAAACTTATTTTTCCTCCCAATGGAATGGGCAATTATTCAGAGCCCTTTAGAAAAGAGAAGAACAAAAGGAATCCCTTAAACTAGGGAATTTTTATCATGATAATAAAAAACCAATTATTTAAAATTTTTTAGATCACTTTTAAAAACATATCACTAATGACTGTTTAGTTTTTTTGATATTTCTGTGAATTTTTTAATTTAAATTAATATTTTTCATTGTCGATCTGGCAACGCTTGTTCATGAAGTTGGCTGCGATTACGTGTTTTAATTACTTTTTCTATTGACAAATATTTATTTATTGATTATAAAATGAATGAAACTCAATATATCACTGATTTTCAATGCTCCGAAATGTATGCTATGTTATGTATGAGAAATAGATCTAAGATATATCCCAAATTTAGACAAAAGATACAGAATTACAACCGATATTAGTACTAATCAATTAATACATCGGTTCGGCATTGCCTTGAGGATGAGCAGCGCGCATTCAATGCCAGTTTTATGAGACAAATAACTTAAAGCAAGTGCTGTCTTTCAGGTTAATTTACTGGCCAATGTTCGGGCAGCTGTGAATAGACTTGTGTACATGGGTGTATGGTTGGGATGGGCTTTGAGGGTCCGTCTGGGGTTTTGTTTATGCTGCCGTATAATGTCCTTTTGGTCCTTTTTCGAAGTAACAAATTGCGTCTGCAAATGTGACTCACTTTACCATGCCACATCTCCACATCTCGACTTCCCCACTTCTCGACATCTCCACTTTATGGCGCACTTGCCGCTGTCGCTCGTTTACCGCATCGTAATGTCACTTCAACAAATCACACCAACTTGCCCCATAAATTCTTCTGTTAATTCCAATTAGGCAGCATGGCGCTCAGCTGTCTCTTGCCAGTGTTGGGCAAAACGAAAAACGAAAGTTGATAATTGATTTTCCATGAAGAAGCATTTGGTAAGCATTTAAGTGTGTTATGTTATTGGTTTTATATGCATGCCGGGATAAGAAATAATACGTAAGAGTATCAAAATGGTTTGCCTAAATATTTTAAGGGAAATTATAAATTATAGGCTCATCTAAATTAGCCCCAGTTTGCAGATATTAAGTTTGTATACGATTAATTGGAATAGTTAAATATTTTTACTCCTATTAATATATTTATACATATGATTGGGGTTCGAGTTCCAGACAAGTCTTAATCGAAGGACATAGTTGCCAATTCTATTTGAAAAATTAGATAAATAATTTGTTACCATGCTCTATACTTATAAAAATAATTAGAATTTACACAAATAATGTAATGAATGAGGTTTTTCACGGTATCTCAATAAAGTTTAGTTTTTCGAACTGAAAGACGGGTATTAGCTCTATTCTTCTAATAAATAGAAAATAATTTAAAATCAGTTTCCTTAGATATCTCTTTGGTATAGCAAATATTATTGCCTAGCGCCAAATGTCTATAAGTAAATTTTTATATTTAAAAAGTAAAATAGGTAAGAATTGAATTGGTTAGTTTTGAAAACTTTTTGAAAGCCTTAAAATATACCGTGCAGCTTCATAAGCCAGAATAAGGAGATTTCCATATACATTTTTTCGTCGCTTCGAATTCAGTTCTTACTGAATAGTCGACCTTATGGACAATCCCCCGTGTGCAGTCCATAAAATGATTTGTGTATAGCATAAAAAAGCACGCATATAAAATGGCAACAGCTATTTAAGCCAAGGCAATGCAGCTGGTGGACCAACTGGTGGCGATGTTGGGCCAGGAAAGGTGACCGGATCGGGAAGTCGGGAAGCCGGCGCAGGCGGTTGGTTGGGCGACGCGTTCGCCACTTTAGGGCGACAATTTATGGGTGCTTTTTTCAGGTGCAGGTATGCGCTTTTCCGGCCAAGCACTTAATTGATGTTGTGTCGCGTAAATTATAAACAAAACAAAAATTAAAGTGGACTCCACGCTGAGGCCGCTTGGCCAGAGCTTGAGCCTCAGCTCGGAGCTCGGAGCTGGCATCGCTTCGCGTGGCTCGACTCGGCTCGGAAACGCTGGCGGATGCGGAAATGCTTTCATCGCAAGTGGTGTCGTCGCTCATAAAAAGCGCACACCCACCCACACACCCACCCACACACACACACTCGGATATGGCCGTGGTCAAGGGGCTAAGCAGGCTGCCGCTGCGCGTCTGTGAGTGAGGTCAAGCGTGAAAGTGCCGCTCCTTGTAGCCGGATGTACTCCTGACCTGCCTGCTCTCCTCTCCCCACCCCACCACCCTCCTTTTACACACCACTCTTCAGCTGCGGTTCGCGCATAAATTTAGCTTTTTGCATCGCAAAGTGTCCTCCAAATGGTCATCTATGCACGCATGGGTTGGACGTGGGATGTGTCCATGTGTGCGGAATTTTCTTCTAATATGATTTTTTATAGCCGCCCTATGCGACAAAACCCTTTTATAACTGCGCCTGTCCTGTGTTATTATTTAGCTAAACTGATCTGTCAAACATTTTAATTATGTATTTTATAATTTTATATACATGTCTTGACAGGCCAGTTAATTTGTCGGAGCATCTCCTGAAAGCTTCTATGTGGTACTATAAGTTGGACAGTTGTGGGTGTTGGGCGGAAGAAATCACTTTATGGCTCAGCTCATTTACTCGGCAACAACAACAGAAGCTAAAAAACTTTTACTTAGAAAGGCTGGAAAGCGGGTTCGAATCGCGCTGGTTCGAACCCGGAATTAATAGTTTCGAAGCGAACCATTGAGGCAAACCAAAGATAATACTGAACCTTGGTTCATGGATGGGGTAAACCAGATTCGCGAACCGAACATCAATGGGGATGTCCTAAGTACAAACGATAATACAAATACTTTAGAATAGGTAGATACGAATTATTTGTGGTATATAATGTATAGAAAAAAAGTATATAAAGTAACCAATGAGGTCATATAGAGTGTATAAGCGTATGATTGGAGCTCCAATAATTCTTGGTAAAGGGAAAATTTTGCATTTACATTTGAGTGGATTTTGTCATGAATTTTTGCAAACCAATTGAGTTCGTATCGCTTTCGAAAACGTTTTGCAAAAGGTGATTAAATTTAAGAGGCGACGAGTTAAAACTTAAAATCAGAAATTATATGCAACTCGAGAGACAATTGCCAGTTGGGCACATAAAACAAAACAATGTGACAAAGGAGCAAACCAGACAGACAGACAGAAAGGGCTACAGCAAGTGGCCTGATTGGGGGATCGAGGGGGGATCGGAGCATGTGGAGTGTGTGGGGATAACAGGCAGAACCGCAGGACAAATGCCAGAGCAAGTGCTACTCAAATCTGTGCGTCTGCACGCATTACAAACGAATTACGAGACTCACTGGGCAATTGCAGTTCATTGTTATTTAATATGTCGTCGTTGAGGTCGACAACGAGCACGGCTGGAAATTATACTTTATGGAGACTCAGCAGCAGCAGCAGCAGCAGCAGCAGTTGGTACAAACAATCCAGGACGCAGACGGCATGACACTGATTGCGATATAAACGATTGTCAACGTAAACGTATCCAAGTGGATTATTGCCTCATGCCAATTATCATATCAACGATACACAGTAAACCGGGCAGGACATGCACGGGAAATGGCCGCAGTGGCCGCACTGGACACTGGACGCAGACCCTGGCGCTGGACTGACAAGTGGCTGCTTCTGCTGCTGGTGCACTGCCAATTGCCGCCCACAATTCAAGCCCAACTGCTCCACAGCCCCGCCCACGCACTTGACGAGGCGTTGATGCTGTGTCGTTGCCTGCGCATCCACGCAACCCCATCCTTGTCGTCCACGTCCTTGTCTGCTGTCCATGTCAGGTGCGGCCCAAATTGCATGTACAATTTTAAATGGATTTTGATTGTTTATGACAATTCGACGAGCTGACTGGCCAGCCCGCTGCTGGCCACTGATAATGCGCCATTTAAATAATAACACCAAAGCTCTGGCCCATCTATCCAGCCGTCCAGCCGTCCCAGCTGTCCCAGCTGCCCATCTTTGGCTGATTCGAGCAGCTCTCTCATTGGATGTTGCATCAATGCAATTTGTGAATTTTAAGCCTACGACATTTGCATAATGAACAGTGTCACAGTTTTTGGTATTTTTAATCAATATTTATTGGTATTTTTCAGTTCAACTTGGGTGTGGAAATTGCAAAAATCTCAGGTAGGTGTAAGGCTCTAGTATCTAAAACTTATAATACAAAATTGGGGATTTAAAAGGATGGGTTGCTGTTTAAATGGGGAAAGTTGGACCTATGTCTATACAGGATATTTGGGGGTTCCATTTTGACATGAATTTTGAGGAAGAATAATGTTGCCAAATTGATTAGGAGGCGAAACCATGTAAAAAAGCCAAACCTCGACCTATGTCTATATATGAATTAGGGTAAGATTTGGACATGAATTTCGACTAAAAACTATGTATTCAGATTCGAACGCCAGATTAATCTAGAGGGAAAACTATGTACAAAAAGCCAAGACTCATGAAAATCGGTTGACTTTTGACCGAGTTATGGGGGGTGGGAAATTTCGACCTATGTCTATATACGAATCTTAGGGGTAAGATTTTGACATGAATTTCGACTAAGAATTATGTGATCAGATTTGAATGCCAAATTAATCTAGAGGGAAAACTATGCATAAAAAGCCAAACCTTATGAAAATCGGTTGAGTTTTGACTGAGAGATGGGAGTGGGAAATTTCGAGCTATGTCTATATAGGATACAAGTATACATACCCCGGCCTTGCCCGTGGCACGTATAAAATGAATCCTCTCAAAGATATTTAAAAAAGATTTTTAAGCAGATAGCACTTTAAGCAAAACACTTTCATACAACTGTTTTTCGACAATTTACCACTGTTGTAAACATGTTTCCGTTGATTTTATCAAGTTATCATCGCTTTAACGTTTGTTTTTCCAATCTTCTCAATCCGAATCGAAATTTGTTGGAAATAGTCTGGATTCGTTGGAGCGAACACCCCGAACAATTTTCGAGTCCATATTCCTGTATTTAAGTCCACAAGAATCAAGAATTTTGGCCTGAAGGGTAGATATTAACAAATATCCATCTTCTTCAGCTGGAAGTTCGATTGGCTCATCATCCTCCTCCTGGGATACTTGGACGAAATCCATTTTGGGGTTTTCTCAAAATTCCAATTTGTTTTTTATTTTCGTATGCACTTATTATTTGGTCAGCGAATCGTTTGCACTGGTTTTATTTTTTTTTTCACATTACACTTATACGTTTCACATTAAAACAATAAGTTAATTATGAACTAATATGCAAGGCATGCCCACCTGTTGCCTGTAACAACAACAAAAACACACGAATGAAGATATTTCGCAATATGAATAGAATATCCTCCTCCTGTATTTAGGATCGGCATCAACAGTCACTTTCATGGCTCAAAGGAGCATAAAAGAAATTTAAAAACACTTTAAAAAATTTAAGATACATAAAAAATACACTTTAGCTGGATACTTGGAAAGGTGCACGAATAATATTTTATTTTAATTGGCAACTGGGTTCCGTATCCGGCTTCTCCTGTTTCATTTCGAGCAGCTTGCGCTGATTCTCCTTGAACTGTTCAATGGGATCCTCGAACTGGCGATAGTAGTGCAGAACCTCTCGTACATCGTCCATCTGATGAACAGGCACACATTTATTAATAAAGTATTGTTTGATGAGGAGTTATTGTACGGGCAAACTGCACCTTGTGCTCGGCAATGAGTCCGAGAAAGGCGGCCAGATCGAAGAGCTGGACATCGTCATCGTTGCCCTCCCAGCGAGCAATGGCAAAAATGTTGTCCGGATGCAGTGGAACGGCGCGACGATCCCAATCGACGACAATCACACGGCGTAGATTTCGATTGAGGCGGTTTAGGTTCTTGATATGATGCCCATCCAGCAGCTGGGTGGCGCCACGCACCAGACGATAGCGTATATATCCGTTCGGGTCGAGAGCATCCAGAATGGGAAACGCCGTCATGCCCTGCTCGGCGGTGTAGACAATTATCTCAAAGTGATTGGTGACCTGGCGCAGAAAGTGATCGACACCGGGTCGTTTCTTGAAGCGCCAGCCCGTCTGGTATGTCCAGTCCGGATGCACCAGCACGTCGCGCATCTCCAGGACCAGCGTGTACCGCGGCTGTATATACGGATGCTGCACTACGTCCGGCAGCAGCTTGGTGGACAGCGGCTCCTGCAGCATCTTCTGGTAGTAATGCAGCGAACGCCACATCCGCTGCACGTATTGCTGGATCAGTGGCAGCGCGCTCAGCTCGTCCTCGATGCTGCGTCCGAACTGATCCTGCTCGGGCCTGCCCAGTTCATAGACGGCCCACAGCACTGTGCCAAAGAGGCTGCCCAGCATAATGGTGTAGCCGAAGTGCCATTTCCAGCGCGGCTTCGGTGGCTTGGGCCTTGGCGGAGCATCGTCCTCCTTGCAACTTTCGTCACCAAACGCCCGTTGACTGATCTTCTGAATGATATTGGAAGCGATCTTATGTTTGTGGTTCAATTCGCATCTGGAGAAGTTGTTGCAGCTTATAAACCTCTTGCCTGGCCAGGGGCAACAGGTCTTCGTGCCAACATGTTGTTGGATCAATCGCAGCCATGCTGCACAGTTAATCATACCCGATTAAAAATAACCAAAATTTTAAACAATTGTGAATGTGTTAACATATTTATCAGGGTTTTATGTGAGTCTGTCACACAATTGAAACTATTCAAATTATCGTCGGCCACAAATGTGTCAAAAATAATTAAAATTAATTACTAGAAGCGGAGAGTATATTTTCCACCAGTTAATCATGGGTTAATAATATAAAAATATTATATTCCGATATTTATCGGAAGGCGGCTGACCAAGATTCGAACCAAACTCTAGATTCACAAATGTGGAAAGCCAGGTTTTTGACCTTGAGCACGAACCGAATCTCTGCGATTTTTGTTATATTTTTTCTATATTTTTATATATTTTTCGAGTCATCCCTATATATTTCAGGTTTTGAGAGTCTTTCCATGAAATCTATTTACAGATTACATATATATTACAATAAAACTAATAGCTGGGCACAGAGTCTACCAACATGTTTATCGACATTTTGCCAAAATCCGCCGAATCAGACGCAGCTGAGAAGCCACAAGTCGGATTCGCAAGGGCACGCTGCAGGTTCGTGTCCCCGGAGTATCGTAATACACGGAGCCGCTGGCTAAGCCGCTTGCGACCGCGGCAATCCGCCAGCTCGGTTCAAATTCAGTCCGGCGAGGTGTCGCCCAGCAAGGTGAAATGGCAGACACTTAAGCACAATGGGCCACTCTTTCCGGGCTCCTATGAGAGACTGCCGGAGAATGTGCGCTTCATTTATGATGACTGCCCCATTGAGCTGACGGAGCAGGCCGAGGAGGTGGCCACATTCTATGCCAAGCTGCTGAGGACCCCGTTCGTGGAGCTGTCCGAGTTTAATGAGAATTTCTTCAAAGACTTTCGCAGCTGTTTAAGCGTTGAGCAGCGCCTTCACATCACCAGCTTTGAGCTGTGCAATTTCCAGAAAATAGGCCAGCATCTGGAGGAGCAGCAGGTGGCCAAATCGCAGCAGGAATCCGAAGACGACGAACGTTATGGCTATTGCTATATGGATGGAGAGCGTCTGCGGATCAAGCAATTTCGCATCAAGCCGCCGGGTCTGTGCTGTCCGCGTAATGGCTTCAGCCTGACCATGGGCATGATCCGACCACGAGTCCTGCCCGAAGATGTTATGATTAATTGTGATGAGTACGCGGAGCCGCCGGCGCCGCCACACGGACACCGTTGGCGTCAGGTGGTGCACGATCGCAGTGTTAGCTGGTTGTACTCCTGGCATGATCTCGTCTCGGGCAGCACACATTATGTGCATGCCCGTATCGATAAATCGAAAAGATATCGCTTGCCTCTTCGGGATCAGCTGGAAACGGCGCGCCGACTGCAGCAGCATCTGCCCAGTATCCGCCGCGAGTACCGTCAGCTTTGGTCCTCGGATCAGTGGCTGGTGCGGCAGCGCAGCGTGGCCCTCTACTGCATCGACCAGCTGGCCATCAGCTGCGATGCCCCAGAGCAGCCGGACAAGGTCACATTGTGCGATCTACGCGTGGAAAACCTGCAGTTGCATCCGCGTCTGGCTGGCAGAAAGAATGTGGTGCGATTGCAGGCCAGGATGTCGAATCGTCAACGTGTGTTGAGGAGCATGTGCGTCCAGCCCGAGGTCTTCTACAATCTGAGGGTCTTTGTCTGCGGCAAGGAGCCGAATGATTTGGTACTCGAGGAGCTCACAACCCAGCAGCTGAATGCACATCTCGAATACCTGATGGACGGCCTAACCTCGCACATATTTTGCATTTGTAATGCCTCCCAGTTGCTGGAGCAGCGCTTGAAGGTAATTCCACGCAAAGCCTCGCTCACCGTGCAGCTGCTGGCCTACAATCAGGCACTCAAAGAGATTCACAGCTTTTGCAGCAATCGCCAGCGGAACGTTGCCCCGCTGCCCGCCCCGAAGAGATCCAAATTGACTCGCCGCAACAGCACCGAGGAGCAGCGCCTAATCCAGGCCATCAGCCTGCAGACGAAGCCACTCGTCGAAGCTACGCTCAACTATTTGGATCCACGGATAACCATTTCCTGGTGCCTGCGCTGCAATATTCCCATCTCTGCCATCTACATGAGCTCAGCGATACGCAGGAAACTCATCTGGGCCACGAAATGCACCACTAAACACTTTTGTTTTTGAATTTAATTTCAATTTGCGTTTATATTTTATATTTATATATATTTTTAGGTGTGTTTTTCATTTTGTGTTCGAGGTGTTGCTAACTTATTTAATTAAAAATAAAATGGGTAAACAAATGATCAATGGACTTATTTCTGTGGGGTACTCGATATATTTGATCTAAGGACAGCGGACAGCATTGACTTAGGCTTAAAAGCCAACAGTCAGTGTTGGTAAGCATTAGAAAACGAGATGTGATCGGAAACTCGTACCTTAGCAAAAACATGTTGAGAATTTTTAGCTTAACGAAAAACCGAAAAGTGAGCAAACCCAAAAAAAGGTTTTCCCCTTTAAAAATCAGTCAAGATTCGGCCAAAATGATTAATTTAAAATCGTCTGACAATATATCTTAAACAAAAAATGGATTCTACAGTTCCATATAATACGATCTCAGTTTTTATACGATTTTTTGTAACTTTCTATAACAATTGAATTCTTTCATGGAATAAACAACTCTTTTAAGCCCTTGTCTTATTAATTATTTAAAGAATATTCCATCCGGATACAAATTCTACGCGCATATTGTCAACACATGACTTGATGGCAAGGTGCCGCTTGAATTGAGGCCGATTCACACCCCTCACAAAATAAAAAAACAAACTCCTCACGTACTTCAGTTGCCGTCGTTTTGGTCTCAGGGGCGTCGCATGTAAATCTACTTTATAGGTCGTTGTTGCCCTGCAAGTCGAAGGTTATGCAAGCAGCGAGAATTGCGTGTGCCCAGCACCTAAATCGCTGATGAAAGCCACCAGCGAAATGGCAATGGGATGGAGGCTGCGTCAGCTTGGGGCAGCCACATGTGGCAGCATTTTAGGCGGCAGGGGCGAGCCGATGAGATGAAAGCGCGTTGCGATTTTAATTTTTAACGAAACCTGCAAGAAAGCTTGGCTGTGTTGGGAGCTGTTTTACATTTGTGATAACCAGGCGTGACATTTTAGCTGCGACTTGATGGAAGCTCAAGGAAGGCGGCCGGAAAAAACGCTTTTCATTACCCAATCCTCAGCAGGCCAGGTGAGTGGGGCGCGGCAGGAAAAATTGTGCGTTGCAGAAAAACTAATTTTGATTTTAATTAAATATTTATGAGTGACAACGGAGCAGGACTTGAACTAATCCCGCCAAGCTGCGTCCATTAAGCACTGCCCCAGGCGTGCTTAGCTTGGAGCGGGCCAGAAATCCACTAATAAAATAACCAAATAGCTGGCAAATAACTTCTACTTATCACTCAGAGCGCATCAGTGAGAAAATTAAAGTATTATCCCAGGAGACACGATTGCGTGCCGCGCTCGAACCCCGTTGACCAGCGCCCAACTACTGGGATATTTATATATGGAGCAAAGGTATTACCTTGTCCAAAAGGGGGATGGAGTGTGTGTGTGTGTGCTCGTTTATTCGATCAAAAGTTACGAGCTCATCTTAGATTGGACATTAAATGGACACTAAAATATTTTCCATCTGCACGCAGCACACCCAAAGCCCGCACGATAGAGAAACCAAACCAAACTGAACCGAACCGAGCTGAGCTGAGCTGAGCTGAGCTGAGCGAGGAACAAGCGAAATAAATGTCATGAAACAACTCATTGACAGGCACATAAGGACACTGGTTTTATGGTCCACAGATATGACCAAAATATATGATTACCATGTGTCCAGCCACATGCGAGCTCGTAAATAGGCATTTTCTCTGCTTTAGCTCCCGTTCGGACACAACAACCACCCCGAGCCCGTGCCCGAGCTCGAACCCGAATCCCCACCCATTCCATAGTTTCAGTCCTTGAACATCCTGGCCATTTGGTGACTACTTTTTCTTGATTTTTGTTGCCTTTCGCTTGGTTATTTACCAACTGATCCAGGTGGGACACTGCACTGTTGTCACAGCCACGGACAGTCGTAAAAATCAAAATAAAATGAAACTTATGCGTGATGTTTGCCTTTTTCTCTCACTCGCTTTTCGCAGTACCCTCCCGTATATTCTCTATAGCTTTTTATGCCCACGCTGCGGTTGAAACTGAACTTGGATGGGCGCAGGGGTCACTTGTTCGTATCACCAATAATACAAACTAGAGTTAAATAGGCAGCGTACGAGTGTTTTGCAAAATATCCCAATAAAAAAGTCAAGTTTAATGGACTTGTTTTGAAACTTAATTGAAAATCAATTTGTTTGCTAATAATAAGATATTTATGAAAAAAACTTAAAACAAGGTTTTATTCCGAATGTCGGAATTTACTTACCCCTTTTCGAAATTTTTTGTATAGTTCAAAATGTTTTAAATTTGCTAAAAAAATATTTATAAAATAACTGCACAAAAAAAACCAAATAAATAGGATTTCGTAAGTTTGATTTGAAAATATAATTTGGGAAAACTTGAAACAAGCTTTTTTTCCGAATGTCAGAATCTATATTGACCGTTTTCAAAATTTTTGGTATATTTCAAAATGTTTTAAACTTTTTTTGAGAATTTATTTCAAATTGTTTTTGTTGTTGTTTTATAGTTAGGTTATCGAAAGAAAATCGAGAGATTTCTGGTGTTGGTAATCGTCATGATTTGAATTTAAAACATCGATGAGTTATCTTTAACTTAGGTTAGGGGTTAGGCGCCTCTCCACCATCCTGCTTATAATATATGATTAATATTATATGATAACCTTCCCTAGAAACTGGTAAGGTAAGGTTCCCATTCTCAAGGAGAGTTTAGTTGCATTCCGATTTATAATAAATATATAATACAAATTTCGAACTCTCATTTAAGATGATAGAATTGTTGTGCAAAAATCAGCTGAAATTTAACTAGATTTCGTGTAGAGGCTAATCAGCATATTTAGTTGATCTTGAAGTGGACCATTTTGTTAATACTTTTGTAGAACAACATCGAGCATTGGAATGGATGACAATGATTTTATCGCGTGCTGCAGATCCACAAAAGCCCTGCCCGGGCGCCATTGAATGATGCGGCACAGCTGCCGGAATGGGGCCCGGACATGGACATCCAGTTTTCGTATAAATTCGCTATTTATGCAGTCTGAGTGTATGCTGATTTCATCTCATCTCATTCAGCGTTACGTGAGCTGATTACGTTAGTCACGCGCGATTGCCGAGTTTGTCCAGGACCAGGATGGAGCTTTGGTTCCGTGTCCAGAATCCACACACACACACACACGCACGCACAGTATGGGTCTGGGTCAGTTGCTTAGCGCCAAATGAAATTGTGCCAACTGGCGACTTGATGAGAATTTCATTTGGTGCGGATTTTTATGACTTTCGAGACAGAGGACTCGCAGCACTCACAACGAGAAAGAGAGGGAGAGTCCCTGAATGCTGTGAAAGTTCCACTAAATGATTTCGCATTATTTGTTGAGGCCACACTCTCCCATTCTCTCCCATTCTCTCTCTCTCTCCCCCCTCTCTTTCTCTGTGTTCTCTCTCTGGTTGCCATAAAAAGTCAATGCATGCGAAATGCTTTCGTGACACGCTCAAACTAGTCCTCCAATGTCCTGGCAATAACTGGCAGCCAGGTTAGTTTTGTTCGGCTTATTTGTTTATTCATTGAATGGGGTCGAATCGTAAAAATTATGTTGATGAGTCATCAGTAAATGGCATTTATTTTATTGTCACCTATGTGACCCCACATATCTTCAATTATGACCATCGCCCCAGATGATTCGATTCTATTTTATGTACCAATGCCAAGGAAGCCATGCTCCTAGAATATGAAAGAGCCGGCATTTTGATGCACGGACTACGAATGAGTCTTGTATTTGTATTATTAATGATGCTCCTAGCCCCCCTTTTGTGAGTGGCTGTCACATATGCTTCACTTCTCATTGCAGTGTCCTCCAAATGGATGATTCATTAGGTCAGTCATAACCTGCTACCGATGCGTAATAAGTGTATTTTTTATTCACTAATATCTGCTGGCATTTAGACACATTCGACTTTTTCCCATAGACAGACCTGCCAATTGCGAGTCAACGAATTCCCAACCCATAAACCACTATTCGACGGCCAGATAAATGCCGTGGCCCGGACACACACAGAGTTGTTAATACGGAAAGCCCACGGTGGCACGGTGGAATAGAGATGGGCGAATTACTCAACACTGCACAACACACAAGAAACCAAGACACAATTAAAAATAATTATTGATATCAAAAAAAAATCTGTATAAAAATACAATACTTTATTTCTTATTCCAAGAGTTCCCAAGTCAAACCAATTAGATTAAGTTTGTAAAAAAATAGTTTGTTGAATTTCAGAATTATACAATATACTTAAGGAGCTAAATAATATATATAATATTTATACATTGGTAACAAATGGGGACGAATAATGTAAACAAATTTGTTTTTACGCGTAGACGAACGTTTGTTTGTTTAATAAAAAGAGAGTTTTGTAATCTTGCATAATGATATTTAGTCGGATCCATTTGTTAAATCAATAGATATTTGCACAATAAATACGGATTTGTTGCCATTGTACTGTTGCGTTGTAGTCTCTTCCCAAACGAATTGGGTAACAACCGCATTTGAGATTTGATTGGATTAGAACAAGCTTTTGGCGGCGCACGAATTGTTGATGTGTCCGCTGTGGTTGATTGGAATTGGGAGCCCCAGCTAACACTACGCCAACCCCCCCACAGCCCACAGCACATGAGCTGGACACAGTGTTGACATGCCGCGGTGCCACCACAACAACAACAACAACCAGGATGAGCCTGTATTCATATTTTTGGCAATCGATGCCCTGCCTGGCTGGCAAACTGGCAGGGTGGCAGGCAGGACCTCAGTCTAGTTGGCTCAACTGTTGGGCAATTAGAAGCGTTCACTGTTTGAAATTCCCAATTTTTCGTGATTGCCCAGCAGGCAGGCGGGCGGGCAACGGGCAGGCGGGCAGCGGGCAGGCGGGCAGCGGAGCAGTCGGTTGGGATGGCTGTGTTAATTTCTGGTTTGGTGAATTGTTTCTGGTCGAAGTGATTATGTTGCAGCCGGTTCGGATCTGATATTCTGGGCGTTTGCTTATTTAACTATTGAGCACCTGCCTCCAGCGTTATTCCTTCGATCTCTTTACAGATCTCACTGAATTGCA